TAAATGTTTGCAGTAGAAAGAATATAAAGAAGAAGAAAAAATGATAGATGTATTTTTGGCAAAATAACACAACTAGAATTACTAAAATGGGAAAGAGTGCAAGAAAAAGGAAGAAGATAAAAAAATAAAAATAAAGAAAAAATAAGGAATTAGAATATTGGTTGAATGCACTTGGAATGTATGTGCACAGTGGAAAGAAGCAATGATTGAGAGGTTCAGGAAAGCATGAAGACAATGAGATATGCCGAATAGTTTCCACTTTTAACACCTTAAGAAGATAAACAGAAGTTCAAAGAAAACTTTTTTGCACATTTTTGCGGATGAATTTTTATATTGGATATAGAAAATTTAATTTTTTTTTCTCTCTTTTAAAGTAAAGAATAAAACATTATATCGAATTTTCAATAGTGGTTAGAAAAAAGAATTTGTGTTTATGCTACAAAGTCTTAAGAAGATGGATGTATAGTTTAAGAAAAATATACGCGAAATCTTTTTTTATTTATTTATATTATAAAAACTGTAGAATCTGTACAGTTTCTTTTGGAATTTTGATAACTTAACATTTATTAATGCATCAAATATTTGATGCCATTTTGAAAATTTTTAGAATATATTTCTTTGAATCAAACAGTAAGAAAGTTAAAAAAAAGTAAAAAAAAATATTTTTTTACTTTCATTTTAACAATAAGTTTGAATAATTTGAAGATATTTTACTTATAACAACATATTTTTATTTATTTTTACAATGAAATTTGTTTTCCATAAATAAATTTTTCCCATCTTACGCTTGGATCAAACTTGAAAATATAATTTTATACAGTTGTTAAATTGAAAATATTTGAGTTTAAAACGTGTTAAACAATAAAATAAAATAATTATTAAAATAAAATATATACATAACTGTTTATCCAATTTATTTTTCAGACCAGCAAATGTTTATCAGAGCTCTGGAGGATTTAACATCGGCTCTAAAAGAATTGAGAAAAAACATGGATTTGCAGGTATTCACTTTCTTTTTTTTTATAAATTTAAACATTTAAATATTTATTTGATAGAATTTTATTGGACTTCCATTCAAACTATTCGTTATATGGCATCCAATACGTGTCTAGCATCATAAATACGATTTAAAGTAAATTTCACTTCATTTGGATATTATCTTTCTAAGAAAAGGTAATGACTTTTTCTACAAAAAAAAATCGCTGCGTATGTTAAATAAATTGAAAAAAGAAATTTAAATAAAAATTGAGTTTCTGGATTATTTAAAATTCAAAAGATATTTTTTCCTTATTTATATTTAATTTTTTTTCAAAATAATTTTAGAATATATTCGACTGTTCTTAATGAATTAATGATTTCGATTAAATTTTAGATAAGAGAGACAAAATATTTAAGAGAAACCCTTGAGAGGTGCGAGATGTGTAGAAGTAAGTAAATTTTATTTTAATATAAAGATTTTAAAATTATTTATAATAAATAATTCTGTTTTACAAAGTACGTTGTATATCTGGCTTGCAATTTGAAAATTTTAGACTTATAAATTCCCAATGGTATCCGTCTATCTGTCTGTCATTTCTTAATCTCGAGAAGGGAATTAGATAGATGAAAATCGAGACCAGAAATGGAGAGCTTAAGGATAGGAGGATCCTGTTAACTATATTCGAATTTCCGATCTAATCAAAAATATGTTATTTCAATTCAAAATTTCCTCCCGAACACAGTTCGATAGATGACCAGCACGACTCTATTGTTATCGGGAAAAGTATCACGTACAGGGGCACCACCGAAATCGAGAGCATATATTTTAGATGAAATTAATTAAAAATTGACGACCTTACAATAATTTTTGCTCGTTTATTTTTTATTCTCTATTGCATTTTATTCAATAGAATTTACACTTTAAATTTCAAATAATTTTATTAAATTTTATGCTATAAAAACTTATAATAAATTATATATATATATAGTATTTTTTTAATATATAATTAAATTTTACGTTCTATCAAAATGGCTTCTTTTTCAATTATTTATTTTTTGACTCAGTTATCAATCTTCTTTATCAGATTATTTTACTCCAAAGAGGATAAAAATGAAGTTAATAATTAATTAATGTTATTATGTATAATAAAAAAAATAACATTAATTAATTATTAATTTTATTTTTACTTAAAATGTATAAATAAAAAATTTTTTCTTGCATAAAATATCTTGTAAAATCATTAAGAATGTTGATATGGAAGCTATCATAAATTTTCATTATTTACAAACATTTGATTTGGGATTTGCTAAATGTTTTATTTATTTATTTTAAGTTAAACTTTAAATACTTTAACTTAATAAACACTTTAATGACTTTTTAATCCTTTAGTAAATTGTATAACATTTTAAAAAATAAATTAAATGACATGTAATTAATTTAAATTAAAAAATAATAATAAATAAATAAAATGCATTTCGTTAATAAAATTTTAAAAGAAATGTTTTAAATATATAAAACATTAACTAATTTTAAACTGAATTTTTAAAATAATGAAAATAAACAATAGCCAGTTTAATTTCTTTCTTTAATTAATAATTTTAATAAAATAATTAAAATATAAATAAATAATTTATTCTGTAATAAAACGTAAAAAATAAAAAATATATTACTATTTTTATATAAACTGAGTAATTAATTTTTGTTTTTAAAAATAATAATTCTAGGTAATTTTATATTTTTTTAAAATGTCATTTTAATTTTTAAATTATGTAATTTTTAAATTTCATCAAAGAAACTCAATAATTACGACATAAATTAATATATTTTAAACAATTTTCTTTTTGTGACGTTTCTAAATTGAATTTTTTGAATACAAAATTTTTATTTCTGACATTTTAATAAATCGCTTTAAATTTTTATTAAATTAAATATATTTTTTTATTCTAAAAATTAGTAAAAAATAATTTCATTTAATAAAGCTTTTTTTTCTAAAATATAATTTAAAAAAACTAATTTTAATTTTTTTTCTTTGAACTTAAAATAATTTAAATTTTATGAAAAACAATTGTCTTCACTTTGTATTGTAAATTTTAATAAATAACAATTTAATAAAATGCACAATACTTTTTGAATTTTTAATAAAATGTAAAATCGATTTTTTTCAATTTTTCAAAAAAAAATTAAAAAACAAAATATCGAAATTTATTTCTTTTACTTGAAATAAAATAATAAAAAAATAAGTAATTGTATTTTATTTCACAAAAACAAAAATGTAATAATCGAAACAATTGAAAATTTCGCAAATTATTTTCTTCTGTTTATCTTGACACTTGAACTCCCTCTCTTTTTCATTTATGATTATATATTTCCATCGAATTAATATATATAAATACAATATAAAATAAATCAAGTTGATAGTGTGTATTTTGAAAGACTTTTATATAAGGCATTTGGCAACCTTAATCAAATCTACTTATTTCTCTGACCACGTCTGTACCTAATTGAATCTTCTTTTGATTCTCGCCATCTGAATTCAATTTCTTTTTTTTCCTCCTTCCCTTTTCTTCCTATCTCTAACAGAAAGACAGATTGTATTATACTTACCTGTTTACGAACTTTTTATTTTTATGACTAAATCACAAGCAAAAATAATAAGCGACATTTGTTTTCCAACAAATTATACGCTTGTAGACTTTTTCTTCTTTTATTTATTATTTTATTTTTTCTTTTATATGTCTATTGAACTTATTGAATTTTCGATATTTGTAAAAATACAATAAAAATCTTTATTTCCGTTAACTTGTAAAATGATCGCTGTTCAGTAAATCATTTTAGTTTTATTTTGAAGTCGAATGTAATTTATTTAACCAAATAAAGTTAAATTATTTTCCTTTTTTTTAAAAAAATTAATTATGTTTTTTATTTATTTTATTATTTGGCTAAAGAATTTTTACAGTGAAATTTAAGATATTTAATTTTTATTTTTCTTTCTCTAAAATATCGATAAAATTACTAGAATAACATCTTACAATACTGTATCATTTTATAGAAAAGTAAATAATACCGTTTGATAGTTTTATTTTTGTAAAATAATAACAGAAAGTATAACTTATAACAAACATAAAATCTCTACTAAATCATACGTTTATTATTGTAAGTAGAACAAATGGAGGATCAATTTTTATTTATTTATTTCGCTAGTGGTATTTTCATTGTGTCTTATAGTAATTTTTACTGGTACTGTATTTGTTACAGGCTTTAGATTATTAGTAAATTTTATCTGTATTTACTATTAAAAATGAACGAATTAATAATTAAATTTTTAAAATTATTTGTAAGTAACTTTTAGTAGTAAATACTTCACCAAAACTTATTAAATTTTATAATTTTTTTTACTTATATCTTAATTATTTCGATGCTTTCTATTTTTTTTTCAGGCATTCGAAATGCATAATTATTTTAAAAAATCCTCTAAAATAAAAATTTTTAACAGAATTATATACTTTATAAAGAAAATGTATCATCTAATTTATAAATTCAGCTATACTTTAAGTGTATATTATTCATGAAATACGATATTTTACTTTATATTTATTAAATAATTTTTAATAATAAATTTATTTTTATGACGAAAAAAAGTAATTTAACATTCTAAAATGAATAATTTTTTAATCTGAAATAAAAAATCATTAAAATAAAGTATCAATCCAACAATACAATACATCGTAAGATTTTTTGAAAAGAATCACCACTTAAGAGGAACTTAAACGTCTATGAGTGGTTAAATTTCCGGATCTCTAGCATCAAATAGGAATTCCAACTAAGAATCTTTCAAGTACTCTCTATAAAGAAAAAATATATATATCTAAAAAATCCGAAAGAAACCTTCAAAAAATTGCCTTTGATATTCTTAGTAAAATATGTATTATATGTAAGATTTTTATGGAAGATACTAAAGAAAGTTTCCCTCATTTAACCTCTATTATACGTACAATATGCTACATTAATACTAAAATCGATGATTTATGAATATGTTGTTATGTTGAAGGAGAGAGTCTCCCTATACCTCAATCTATATAGGATAGCTTGAGGATATTGTCAGCTGCAGGAGACCTCATGGCAGTGATGTAGAAGGCGTTATGTTACTTAGCTGTTAGTCAGGATGTCAGAAAAGGAAGCGTGGTTGGAATTCTGAGATATTTTCTTCCACATTAGTGGATAAAAGCAGGAAAAAAAATATAAAGAAAAGAGCAACATTTCCACAATGAATTTCTAAAGTAACAATACTCATAATCAGTATAAGGTATGCAGTAAATTACTATGACATTTACATGCACATTATTTACAATAAAATACGTGAAAGAAATGTTCTAACTTGTCTCATCTAAATTAATTTTTCTTATGTTACATCATTACTTCCTACAAATTATCATTATTTAAAATTGATGGCTATTTCTTTTCTAATTTTTATTAAAAAAATACGTCAATTTTTTACAAATTATTTTTTTAATTAGTAAAAAAAATTCCTTAGTTTAAAATATATTAAAATTTAAGTTTAAAATATCATGTTTTGATTTTTTAAATTTAAGAATAATTATTATTTTTTGTGCTTTTAGAAAGTAAAAAATAGTTATTAAGATAAGAAACATTCATTACGAGTTTTCAAACGTCATAAAAATAGTAACAAGAACATAAATAATTTATATATTTGTATAAAATATGTAAATTAATTTGCATAAAATATTGATTTTTAAAAAATTATTTTTCCTTCTACTACAAAAAATAAGTATGCTGATAACTATTGATACTTCTATACTAATAAAGTTACATAGCGTTCTATTATATAAATAAAAATATGCATTCATTTAAGATAATGGCACTTATAAAAAGAAAATATCTTTAAAATGAAAGTTTTGAAAATCTTTTAAATGAAAAAGTTTTGAAATGAATTTAAATTTTTTTTATTATTCCTAATCATTACAAAGAGCAAATATTTGTAAAGCAAATTGTTACGTTTTGAAAATGTAAATATTTATTTTTATTGTTATAAAAGTTTGAAGTTTTATTAAAAAGTCGAAAAGAATAAATAGTTCTTTAAATTTTTACAATTCTTTGTTAACAAATAACGTTTTTAAAGTAATAAATTGTAAAGAGACGTTAATGTTACTATCGCAACAATTCTTGCTTCTGCGAGAATTGACGACCTTTCTGTTACTATCGTAACTTTAGATTTATTCGTCTCTGTTACTAAATGTGTTAATTACATTTAATTTCATTAATTATGTTTAATTTCATTTTAATGATGTAAGTTTCAAATTTAATCATTTTAAAACTGAAACTGATTACAATTAAATTCGATAAGAGACAAATAAAAATGGAATTGATTAATTAATTCTTTATATATATTTCTTTTCTGTAATAGATGAATTTTTGACAAAATTAAACTGTAATAAATTAATTTTTTTAAAAATAAATTGTAAAAGATTAACTTTCAAGAAATTTGATTAAAGCTGATTAATTTTTAAGAAATTTAAATTCAGTTGATTTGTTTTAACTCTGGTAATAATTCTTTATTTTTTCATATTTTAAAAATCAAAAATTAAGACATTTTAAAGCGATTCTAGTGAAAAATTTTGTAATATTTCACTTTGAATTCTTGGCGTAGAAAATTTATTTTTATCAAATAAATCAATGTTTTTTTTTTTTCCTTTACTTTAAAAGAAATTCGAATTTTAGAGGATGGAAAGAAGCTGTTGTACAATATTTATGATCAAGTGGAAGTCTATTACTTGGTCATTTCCCTTTAAAGTCATTAAAGCAAAGAATTGTTCCCAGAACGTGGTTACTGTAAAGAACTATTCTAACATGAATAAAAACAAGCAATCTTTTTTCTCCTAGAGTTACAAGCTTTCGACTTTTTTTTTTATTTTTATTTTTTAAATTTAAAGCCACGATCCATCAGTATGAAGAAAGTAAATAGAAGAAGACTACACAGAGTAATACTGTAATAGTTATTACTGTGGAAGTTTATGGTTCGTTAAATCAGGCATCCCTAATATTTAAAATTGGATAAACATAATTATAAGATTTAAACTTTAATTGCTGATTTTTATTTGTAATTACAACCAATTCTTTTCAATTAGAATAGAAGTTTTTAACGTATTGCTCTCATTGAATTTTAAGTGATATGTGTGCGTGTTTTATAGCTTGTTTTTTTTAATTAATAAGATGATATTTTATTAAAATCTATCATTATCTAACTGTAGAAAGATGTTTTAAAGCCGAAAATTGAGGTGCAACTCGATTAAACTGATTGATTACGCACCAACAAACAAGGGAACGAAAGGAATTTAAGTCCTTTCGATCTTAGAAGATGGAAATTTTTTTTACAGAAAGAATACGGAAGCTTAAAATTGTTATTTGTTACCTAATAGGAAGTGACGTTGATGTATTTCACTATTCGATAGTTTAAATATCCAAACAGTCGACTTCAATTAGATTTTTTTTCTTGACTTACGTTCTTTGGTTGGACGTTAATTGCTTTCAGATGAGTTTAAGTCTCTTTTCTCCACCAAGATAGATATTTTAAATAGATTTTATTTCTTTTCTACTTTCTTTACTATCAATTATCGATACATTCAAAAATTGTTCGATTCATCTAGTAAAATAGTTATTAAAGATACTTTTAAAATCATATTTTCGAAAATATTGATTTCATTTTCGAAGCTTCTTCAATGTATCTATGACATTTATGTGAATTTTTAAAAAAATAATAATAATTTAAAGCAGGTTATCGACTGATTCAAACTCTAAATTTACTCGATGTATTCTAATAACTGTAAATTTTATATTCACTATTTTAAGAGAGTATCGAGTAAATTCTATTCAAATTTCTCTATCCGTATAGAATGAATTCTATTGAATTTGCATCTTGGAAACGATAAATGTATCAAATTTTCTTTAATATCTATAAATATTTATTTAAAATACGCTTGAATTTTTTTTAAATTTAAGATTTATTTAGCACGTTTAAACCGAATGACTCGTATCTAGATAGAACGATGCTTTTGATAATTTATTTCGAGATAACTCAGAGAATGATAAAGCTGATGAGTAAAGAAAGCTAAATCTAGTCAATTAAATGTATTAAATTTAGTTTCCTAGATATTGTGGCAGAGGACAGTTAGGTTAGAACAGAAGATAATCAGGAAAAGCGATAGGAGCTAATTAGTAAGAAAATCGATATAAGGAATAAGAATTAAATGTGCAGTACATAGAGTTTATATAGAATAATATAGCAAGGTTGATTGAAAATTTTAGCAACTTGAAACTAAACTAGATACTGTTACATTGTTATAAATGGAATTTGGGATAACAAACCCAAATTTCGGTTACACAACTGTTAATTAGAACGGAGAATAGTTAGTTTCCATAGAGTATAGTTAGAATTCTATTAAATTCTCCTAGGTTTATGTTACAAGAAGGGATATAATATATTCTAGCAATTAATTAATTAATTATTAATATATTCTAGATCAATTACTCAATAATATAAATTCTCCAAACTAAACAATACATAAAATTAAAGTGTTTAGAGAGCCATTAATCAAAACATTTGACTACTTTACAGTTCGAAAAACTTGCAGAGACAATCCCTGCTTTCCAGGTGTTCAATGTTACGACACAGTCGACGGATTTAAATGTGGTTCCTGCCCTAGAGGTTACACGGGTGACGGTATCAGCTGTAATCCCTACTCAGCTTGTAACGATAGACCCTGTTATCCAGGTAAGAGAAGATGGAAAATGGTTATCCAGGTGAGCGAGATAGATTCTTAAAATTCTTCCTCTCAACTTCTACCAGGTGTGAGGTGTTACGATCTTGAAAATGGTGCTTACCGATGCGGTCCCTGTCCAGAAGGATTTGTTGGTAACGGTGTGGTGTGCAAACTAACTAATCGATGCTCCGAAAATCCATGCTGGCCTGGAGTGCAATGTACCAACATAGATGTGTCACCTGGTTATCTATGTGGTCCGTGCCCTTCTGGTTTCTCCGGTAATGGTACCCATTGCGAGGACGTGGACGAAGTAAGCCAAAGCTTTCGTATATTTTTCTATTTATCTCACCTGCCCACACAATTATAGCCGTTACCTTAGCATGTAGCGGGTAATAAAAACGTTAAAGTTCGATAAAAGAACAAAAGATTTGTGTATTCCATCGCTTTTTTTCGCTAAAGGATAACTGAAATATTTATTTTTCTCTTTATAATTCTAGAAAGTAGTAAATTTTCTAGAATTTAAGCACTTTTTCTAAGTAAAATCTTAAATTTTAAAGGATAAGTTGACTCATCTAACATGATAAATTAATATCATTCGATACTTAAACGATGTATGTAATTATGGAAATTTGATATTCCAACGTATAAAATATCAATTTAATCTATTAAACGACTAAATTATTATTTAATTTTCATTAAAATATGCTTAAAATTTATTTTAGGTTTAGAATAATCAAAGAATAAAGTAATTATCCAGTCGATATCCGGTGATTATCACCCTGGTTTCGTTATCGATTAAAGAATCGTCTTGATTTTATGCGAATCTAAAATCGTCTTTAACTTTAACAAAGATTCACTTTTTTTAAATTCATTTAAAAAAAAAANTTACTCTTTTCTTTATTTTAAAACTTTAAAAAAAAGGCATTACAAATGCACTTTTTTTTTTACATTCTCATCATCCATAGACGTCTGGGAAGAAATTATAAACGTTACAAATGTAGAAAAGTGTATCCATTAGTAGTAGCTAGAAGAAGAAACAAAATATCGAGAAAACATTTTCATATTTTAAAATTACATTTTCATTTTTATGCATCATTAGGAACGAGATAAGAAGATAAGTGCGGCTGTCTACGTTAATGCAAGTCTCCAGAGAGCCTTAGAAGAAGCAGGATGTCCTCCTGGTGATGCTCCACATTCCATACAACCGACTGGAGAGATTTATTTTAATGGAAAAGGTACAACTATCTCCATCTAAAAATACCTAAATACTATGGTATAATAAAGATTTTTGCACTTAATTAACTTAATAGGGGTGTATAGATCACCGATGATGCTTCCACTGTTGTTTATTTACCATGATTTATTATATGACTACTTACCGCTTTTGCCACTATAAGTGGTCATTTTCTTAGTTGCAAGTGTTTTACTTGATCGAGATTTAGTTTTATTACTGTGACAAATTTTAACAGCCGTACAAAATTATCATCTCTTTTTTTTATATTTTGCCCTTAAATTTTGCTTCCAAAATTATTTTTGATTTATATTTTGCATTTTATCTTTACGTGTTTATACTTTATTTCAACTTTTTTAAATAAACTACTAATTAAAATTAATATTTTAATTGGAAAGAGGGTATATTTTATTTGTTAAAAATAATTCCATAGTGCAGTATATTGTAAACAATTTAATACTAATTTTTTGAATGTAAATTTTTAAAATTTAATTTTTCGATTTTTGTATTTAATATTTACATTTTATTTATTTTATTTAATGTAAAATTGAATAAAAAATATATTTTATTCGAAAAAATATATATATCTTTAATATTTATACGTTAAAGCAGTCGAGCAGTCGAGCAGTTTTATATATAAATTTTCATTTTTATGCATTAAAAATTTTAAAACTTACTTTTTAAAAATGTAAATTGTTTTTTTTAAGATAAACTTTTATTTTTATGCTTTTAGATAAAACGAAAATTGAAACTGAAAGTTAATTTTTTTTTTTACTTTTCTTATCTAAAAAAGTACAGATTTCAGTTTCAACAGATAAAATATAACTTAAAATTTGTCTGTTTCAAAAAAGACAATTTTTTTTTCTACAAAAAGTTAAATAAAAGACAACTTTATCTCTAAAAAGATAAATTTTCCAGTAAATGACAATTATTAATAATAATAAAAAAATAACAAAAAAAANAGGATAACTGAAATATTTATTTTTCTCTTTATAATTCTAGAAAGTAGTAAATTTTCTAGAATTTAAGCACTTTTTCTAAGTAAAATCTTAAATTTTAAAGGATAAGTTGACTCATCTAACATGATAAATTAATATCATTCGATACTTAAACGATGTATGTAATTATGGAAATTTGATATTCCAACGTATAAAATATCAATTTAATCTATTAAACGACTAAATTATTATTTAATTTTCATTAAAATATGCTTAAAATTTATTTTAGGTTTAGAATAATCAAAGAATAAAGTAATTATCCAGTCGATATCCGGTGATTATCACCCTGGTTTCGTTATCGATTAAAGAATCGTCTTGATTTTATGCGAATCTAAAATCGTCTTTAACTTTAACAAAGATTCACTTTTTTTAAATTCATTTAAAAAAAAAACTTAATTAGAAATTATGTCATTAGTTGCTAATGTCTCTTCAAAAAATTCATATCAAAATTAATTATAGTTAAAAAAGTTGAAACGTTTTCAAAAATCCAAAGAATGCATTTAAAAAAATTTTTAATGTATTTAAAAATATAATAAAATAATTTCAGAAAATTGAAAAATTTAATTTAAAAAACTTCAAAATTATTGTAAAATCTAAAAAAAAACTTCTCTATAAATCAAGAAACTTCTCAAAAATATCGTTATAATTAAAGCAAAATCGCAAAAAGTACATTAAAGTATCTAAAAATTTTCAAAAAATTAAATAAAAAATGTTTTGGTTTCTAACACATTTTTTATAATTTTTTAACACATTTTTTTATAATTTAAAACATAAAAAATTAAGATTTAAAATTCGGAATTTTATGCAAGAAGTCAGAGGTTAGATATTTGGAGGGAACAAGCTCATTAAAAATTTTGCATTTTATTGCTAACTTAACGAGTTAGGTTTTATTGGATCTCAATTAAAACTAAAATAAACATGAAGTGGATGAAAGAGTTATAACAACTGGATGGGTTTACCATTGATTTTCAGGTTCGAGTGCCATCAAAACTTTTCGGAAATGTTTATCTTAGCATTAACTCCATCATGAACCTAATGAAACACAGAATAATGTTCACGTTTTCAAGCAACTCTCAAATATTTATCACGTCAAAAATCTATATTTATAAACGAAGAATCTTGTCAAATTGTTATGTGATAAATAAATACATAAATAAAATTTTAAAAAATTAATTTGGTAACGTTTTAAAAAAGTCACAAGCTGACATATTTAAAAAACTACTGAAAACTTGAAAGCTTAAGTAATTTCATTAACTCTTTTTACCTTGTGTTCACTAAAAGGGCCTTTTTTTAAATCATATTACTCGTGGGTTCGGCCACGTCCACAATGGTAGAAGTCGGGTGGTGAGGGGTAGGACCCTACACAACAAAACAAACCTCCAGCGAAAGCTTCCTGTGGAAGCTGCTGCGGATTCGTTCCCGGATTCCCCAGAACGGTAGATTAAGGCCTTAACTTCTTCAGTCATCCTGTGTTTTTTTAAAAAATGTACAAACTTAATTAACGATTCAAAAAGTCATAAATTTAGGCAATTCAGAAATTTACAGTTTAAAAAAATATTTTATAGAAAATCGCAAATTTAAAATTTAGAAAAAAAATCATAAAATTGTTAATAAAACTTAATAATAAATTTAATTATTTTGATATTTTTCAAACGAATTTTTTCATCATTTATTTTATTTTCCCATTGTTTATACGTGAATGTATTTTTTGGTTTTTTTTTTTTATGTTTACATTTACAGAAACGAAAATTGCTTTCGATTAAACATAATTTATATTACTGTTTATTAATATTTATTACATTTTTAAATTTTTAATTTTAAAATTTCAATGATTTTTAATCTCGTTAAGTGGTCGTTAATTTTATTAATTTCTAACAACGTTGTATTTTTTTTCTTTTTATAAAAATTCAAAAATGATTTCCTACATAAAATATATATTTTTTTAATTTTAATTTTTAAAATGGTTCTATTTTAATCTAAAAATAATATAAATTATTTAAAATTTTGTATAAAAATATATCTGCTTTTTTGAATTTTAATGTTGCAGTTTTAGAATAATGCTCTTCATTTTTGTGTTTTAAAAATAAGTTTTTTTTAATAAAACTTTGTTTATTAAAGCAAAAATATTCTCAAATTTATTAAAACTATTCAAAATTTAAATTAAAAAATATATAAATTTCACATTTATACACATTTATTATAAAATAGGAAAAAAATGAGCGTTTTGCATTTTTATAAAATACAAAAAATGCATTTTGTAATTTTATAAAAATACATTATAAAATACAAACATAAATATGTATAAAAATGTAAAATGAATAAAAAAAACGCATTCTTTATATATTTTTATTAATTTATAAAATACAACAAGTGCATAAAATAAAATTTATTTCATTTTTCGAGCAATATTAAGTTTAAAAATCAGTTAGAAACTTTGAATAATTAAAATTCAGAATTAAAAACAATTGAGTTCGAAATTTAATTTATAATATCGCGTAAGTAAAATTTGATTTAAAAAAAAAATTAAATGTTTACTCGAAACTTCTAAGTTAGAAAATGCAAAATATTCATTTAGTTCGAGTGTAAAGCAATTAATAAACATCCGAAACATTCGTATGTTATCCACACGGTTTACCTAATTACGGTCATTTATAATATTTTCAGTGCGATTTAGCTCAACCCTGCCATCCAGACGCATCGTGTGTCAACACGGCTCCGGGTTTCAGGTGCGGACCATGTCCTGCAGGTTACACCGGAAGAGAAGTTTATGGTAAAGGACTCGAATACGCACGAGCGGTCAGACAGGTCAGTAAATGTATACACCTACACAAATCTATAAAATATTAGAATTGTTGGGGATAGACTAATGTACCATCAAATCTTAAAAATGTACCCAAACAAAAAATACAAAGAGTGGATCGAAAAAAGAGGAATTGGTATCGACTGTGAGGGAACTAATCCAATTTTTAAACTTTTTATAAAAAATATTTTTAAACATTTTTCATCGAAATCCCGTCCCAAGCTACTGTTTGACAGAGATTATGAAAGATAAACAACTCGTGCTCTTAGGTTTTCCAGTTATGAACCCCAAAGTCCATTTATCTGTAAAGTGCAAAGGGTGGTGTGGTGGTGGTATGTGTGTGTGTACCTTATCCCTTCGCATAGCTTCCATTGTAAGTGATAGAAGTTCTAATATAGAAGATATATCACCGTCTACAGTGTATATAACGAGAAACAATGTTTGATCATTGCAAAGCTTTGCTTGACGTTAGTAACAAAATTAATGTTCTGTTCCTATCGATTGTTTGTCCTCAGTCGACCGCAGTTTTCTATTCTCCTATTTAAAACTACTGAAAGATTGAAAGGAATGTTTAGCTTAATCAATTTTCTTTTGTAAAATTTCAGTTTTTTTTAGAATTTAAATTTATTATTTCTCTTTAATTTATGTGCTTTATAATATGCAATATCTATGTATATTTTTTAATAGTTGTGTCTAGATATCAATGAGTGCGACGAAGGAAGAAATGGAGGGTGTGTGGAGAATTCTCAATGCGTAAACACAGTTGTGAGTACTTTTTGCATTGATATAAATCGCAAATGTATATTTATAGCATTAAAAAATTCATTTACGAATACTTTAGACTAATTATAAATTAATACTCAAAATTTTCTTTAAAAAACGGGGGAGGACTAATGTATTTAATGATTCTAAAACTAAAAAATTGGTAAAAATTGTGTTAACTTCCAAATTTTTTGTAAGTAGTGATTGGGCTGCAATTTGAAAAAAATCGTAGACTTATAAATTCCCACTGTCGTCCGTCCGTCTGTCTGTCTATCTGACTGTCCTTTAATTTCGAGAACGGAGTTATATAGATAAATACCGAATTCAAACGCGCAAACAGCATTGGAGTAGGAGGCCCCGAGAAACTTCCAGTCTAGATAGAAAGTCATGTGATTTCGATTTAAAATTTCCCCTGAAAGGTGTTACTCTATCGTTAACAGGAAACGTATGACGTACTGTACAGGAACAAGCCACTACTAATTTGAGGTGGAGAGCATATATTTTAAATGAAATAAATTAAAAATGTAATTAAAACTTGCAGCCCGNTTCACAACTGAAATATAAATTATCTTATTATATGTAACACTTTTATTTGATCTTTTATTTTATTGTAGATACGGGGGTGGGAGATGCTTGCAGGGGTGATTTCGATAAAGACGGTGTTCCAGATGAAGACGACGTGTGCCCAGATAACAGGAGGATATATGCTACCGATTTTAGAGAATATCAAACAGTAGTGCTCGATCCAGAAGGCGAATCTCAGATCGATCCTCATTGGGTTATATACAATAAAGTAAGTGTAACTTTCATAAATTTCTCTTTATCTATCCAGCCTTAAAAATGTAATTACTTTAGGGAGCGGAGATTGTTCAAACAATGAATAGCGATCCTGGCCTGGCTGTTGGTAAGTCTGTTACTAAATATGTCTAAAAAGTTTTAGAAAATTATTAAATTTTAAAATATTTCAGGTCTCCACGCTTTCGGAGGAGTAGATTTTGAGGGTACTTTTTTCGTCGATACAGAGGTCGATGATGATTACGTGGGCTTCATATTTAGGTAAAAATTATTGTTTAACGTATTATTTTTATAAATAAATATTTAATTATTTATATCCTTCTTTAGCTACCAAGACAATTCTAACTTTTATGTCGTGATGTGGAAGAAGAAAGCTCAAACTTATTGGCAAGCCACACCTTTTAGAGCTGTGGCAGAACCTGGTATACAGTTAAAACTTGTCAAATCTGAAACTGGTCCTGGTGAAATGCTTAGAAATTCATTATGGCACACTGGCGATACTGAAGAACAAGTAGGAGAGAAATTTAATTAATGTTTTTGAAGTTTTTACTAATTAACATCAACTAAATTTTTAATTATAGGTTAAGTTATTGTGGAAAGATCCCAGAAATGTTGGATGGAAAGAGAAAGCTGCGTACCGTTGGCTATTACTCCATCGTCCTAAAATTGGATTAATTAGGTCAATATATAAAATTTTAATTAAAATCAATGCTAATAAATTTAAATTAGTTTCGTTTCTTGTAATCAGAAAATTTTCAAACTCCCATACAATGTTTTAGAAAGAGAAATTCAAAATTTTAAGTATATTTAATTAATATTCTTTCTACAGGTTAAGGATATTCGAAGGAGAGAATATGGTTGCTGATAGTGGTAATATTTATGATGATACTCTTAAAGGAGGACGTTTAGGAGTTTTCTGCTTCTCCCAAGAGACAATCATTTGGTCAGATCTTGTATATCGTTGCAATGGTAAGAAACATAAAGAAAATTCTCTATTTCTAATCTTGTTCTAATTCATTTGAAGAAGAAAAAGTTATGAATTCTTCCGATTACGGGTTAAACCTCTAAAGGGATTTATGTACTAATTTCATCTTTAGGAAAAAAAATTCAACAAAATTTAAACGTGAAATCAATAATATTTTCTGATATCTTTAATCTCTAGAGGCTGTACCGAGTCGTGTATACGAAGAACTACCCGACTATCTGAAAGCAGAAGTAGCTATCGATAACACAAGACCTTCTGATATACCAAATGTTGGCCACAGGAGGGTACCAGAATATCCAAACATCGTTCCTGCGGAATTAAGAAGAAAATCTTCGAGGTCCGGCCGGAGGAATTATTAAAAAAAAGAAAAAATATATATATATATTTCTACTAGTGATCTGGAGTTTAATAAATTATATTAATTCGCTCGAATGTCTTTTTATGTTAAGGGTTCTTTCATATGTGGAGAATGTATCGAAGGTTTTGTTGGCAACCAGACGTTTGGTTGCCATCCTCATCCGGGTACTTGTCCAGATGGAACCATTTGTGATGGACATGCTGAGTGTGAAAGACGTAGAGGTCAATACCGATATCACTGTAAGGTGAGCAATTATGTTACTGTGGCCAACTTTATAACTACTAGAATGGTGCCATTTCAAATAAAACTCTTATATTTTCTATATTAAAAAGAATAAAATTTAAAATTAGTTTTAAACGATCTATATATTAAAAATATAACATATTAGTTTTAAAGAATTAATACAGAATAGTTTGAAAGTCAGTTAACAGAAGTAACTGACCCTTCTTTACCTTTGTTAAAACTGGATTTCGGATCACCCTATTCACTGTATAACTATAGGGTAAAAATATAGAGGATTTGAGTGGTTTTTGTTCCTCAATGCCGAAAAATTCTGTTGAATAGTCGACATATTTGTGACACGAAAACAAAAACAATATATATCCTTTCGGAATTAGGAGAAATAATGCAGTGTAAAGAAAGGACAGGGAGATAAGGAGAGGGGGGAAGAAAAGACATTAGATGATACTGTATAAACTATCAGTGTAGACGTCCACAGGAAATTTTATAGGGGATCAAAGCTTGGCGACAAATAACTGCATCAATAGATTTTAATTTAATTTTTTAGGTTTTTATCGGAAATAGATTATAGAATACAGTATTGAATAATTAGAAAAAGAGAGACAATTTGTAATCATACCCTCAATCCCATGGTCGAGAGTGTAATTACAAATTAGATAATAAGATTACAAACCTCAATCACTTTTACGATTGTAATTTGTGGAATTCTTTACTCAATTCCGGGGGTCATGTGCCCCGTTTGCCTCCCCGACTATATGTATGAGCCATAGGTATCAGTCGGAAAAATGAGCCTCTATGCCTCCAATGATAAATGTTTAAATACGCCTCTGTATAACTAATATATTCTTTACAAAATTTAATTTAATAAAAATTAGTTTCAAAGAAGTGACTTGGATAATATTTGGAATAGCTGTTAATTCATTTATGAACAGGTTTAAATTTAACCTTTCTAGTCGTGAAAATGTCACCGCACTAAAAGACAGTTTTCTGGAGGTGTTCGTCCACAGCGGAACACAACATGTCAACACATAGCTGAAATTACACCCANTTGATAAAAATTAAAACGTTTTTCTTACTAAAGATTTATTTTATTCCACATGACATATTTCAAAATAAATAAATAAAAATCCAGCTTAAGAATATTCTGCTTGTTCGTTATAAAAATATATACACTAAATGAAAACATACATTAATCTGCTTTAAATTCTAAAAAATAAAAATAAAAATCTAGAAATTCGAAAAAAAACTTATTATTATTATTGAAGTTGCCTATAAATTGCAAAAATTTTCTACTTATTTTGCCTAATCTGGATATCATTAAAAAGTAAAATATCCAAATGGAATCAATCCATAATATAAGAATGATTTATTCAAAAAATCTTCTTTAATTTCGAAAATATGAGGTGCTTTATATTACATAAAACCCTGTAAATTATAAAGGCTCGAAGAGAATAAAAACGAAAGAAGGGGGAACTGTCACTCCTGTTTTAAAGTATAAAACTTCTTTGATTCTTATGCAGAATAGCAGGTGTTTGGTAAATCCATGCTTGGACTTTGAATATAAATTATTCATTCAGTTTTTTACCAAGAGTAGACTTTTGTTGCTATAGACGTCCATCTTCAAAATGATGTTCATGCATGAAGACGACATCTTTTTCTACAGCTTTATCGTCTTACTTATAGATCTACCATGCGATATAAAACTTATAACTGATTTGTGAAAGTCTTCCAATATTATGAATAATTATTATGAATTTTTATTAATTTTTAAAGTATTTTATCTAAATTTATTTATTAATATATCGCCCAAATTGGCTTTAAAATATATATAGTTTTTGCACATTTCAATTAAAAGATATTAAAGTTGGATCAAATTTAACACATATGATCTTAAGCAAGATCCTGGGAAGTGATTTGTTGCACAATATAGTGAGGCCCGTCAAAAAATATATACAAAGGGATTCGAAAGGCCCTAACTTCAGTCTCTTTCTCTAATGTGATTCGATTTATTACTATCTTTTCCCCCTCTGTTTACGCATTGAAATTTCATAAATTCATTTTTTTAGGCTTTTTAATCAAAATTTTTTTGTTTAGTTCTTTCCGGGCCCCAGGGGGTAATAGCTCCCGTTTTTCCTTTTCCCTGTCGACCTTAGCCTTAAGCAAGAACATACATTTTTCAGCAAGTAATAATGGATAACACATATTAAATTTTTGAGGAAAGAGCGACCAGGTTCCTCATAGCACGAAATCCTAAACTATAGGGCCTCGTGTTAGTTTGTGTAAATCCCCCCTGTAAAATTGTATATGAAATAGCACAGCTTTGTATTTTCGGCTCCATAAGATGATAAATTATTAATTTTAATATAAATTTACTGATTTTTAACGTTTACGTATTCAAAAAATATTCTTAACTGCATTATGGATAACATATCATTTTAGGATGCTCCTAAATTAAGGAATAATTATTCTTATCAAGTTTAAGCTTCCTATACTGAATGACTGTTTTCCTATATTATAAACAGAATTACCGTTTCCTGACTTTATTATATTTATCATAATTACAGTTTGAAGTCGTGGAAGCAAATCATTTTATAGATACATTATACAGTTAAGAATACATAAATATTTATAAAATTTCATAAAATATTTTTAAAACTTAAATTAACGAAGAAAAATGATTTTTAAATGCTCTTAAAGTTAATTAAATTAATAAAATTGTTTAATAAAATATTTTCGGTCTATTAATAAGATAAGTAGTTACACCCCGTTAAAATTTAAACGATATCGTTTTGCAATTCGCTTAAACGTGCGACGATGGGCGTGGTTCAATGTCATTAACCNATCTTTTCTACAATTTAAAAAATATATATAATGTATGTTTTATTTTTTTTGTATGTGTGTTTAGTGTCGTGTAGGCTGGGCAGGTAGCGGTAAAATATGTGGACCAGACAGAGATTTAGACAGCTGGCCCGATTATGATCTGAATTGCAACCATCCAAAATGTAGAGCTGTAAGTTTTAAGTTTATAAAGTACAAAACTTTATTCCTGGCGAAAATTTATTCGAATGCAAATGAAGTGTGCATACTTATGTTGATCAGAATATTTCGAGTAATCAAGAAGCACATTACAAGAATATTCTCAAGTTTTGCTGCATCGTGGCGTGACTCATCGATCCGCTACTAGCAGAATGTGTTTAGGAAGTGGATATTTCTCTTCCTCTGTCTTGAAAGACATCGAATTTATCGATTATAAAGTTCATCTACATTTTCTGATAAATCTGAATTCTTCAGAAAATATGAGTTCCTTTCACATTTCACTCTCGTTCTTTATAGAACCCATTCTTTTTTCAACATTCTTTTCTAAACGATCAAGTTTGCAAACTTGTTAAACTTAACTTATTTAGATAAGAAAGGGGGGGAAATTTTTAATGTCAAGCTAAGTTTCATAAATTAATTATTTCCACTTTATAAATTACCATTAAATAAATTATTTAATCGAATTTTATATATTGCTATAGAAGAAATTGTAGTAAAAAAAAATTTACTTATATAATTTTATTCAAATTTATACTTAATAAATTGCGTTATTGATCATTTGTTATTAACTTTAATACAGTTTAACATTTATAAATAATTAATTCGATATTTTTAATCCATTTTAAATTCGCAAATTTCAAAAACATTTCATAAAATTTAATTAAATTTTACATCTGAATTTTATTACGTAGCTATTATGCTAATTATTTTAGCAAATTTTATGGTATTTGGTTACTTTTCCTGTTATTTTATTCGCCTCTAATCACATTTCCACAAGAAAATTTTGTTATTGATGATCTGTGATCCATCTTGGGATGTCCTAAAGTCGACAAGTTTCTTAATCTTGTATGAAGGATCACAGTTACAGGAGAAAAGCAAGTGAAAACTAGTAAACAAGTTGGAAAAACATTAGAAAAATAAATAGCCATTGGATATATATATATATAAGAAACGATTTTATATATTTATAAAATAAAAGTAATATTTTCTAGCCTTGACAATGATAATCTTATTTAATTTTAGGATAATTGTCCAGATACACCAAACAGTGGTCAAGATGATGCTGATGGTGACGGTTTAGGTGATGCTTGTGATGAAGATGCTGATGGAGATAACATTCCTAACAATCCTGTAAGATTATTTATTTAAAAGAAATTATTTACATTTTTTACATTACATTTAAAGCAATAATTTTAAAATTGACTTTCGTACTATTTTTCTTTTGATAATTTAATTTTTCGATCGGATCTCTTAGGAATTTTTCTAACCAAAAAAATAAAAAATAATTCTTTTTCTTTCAGCTAATAACTCTGAAAAAATTGTTTGTGTTTCAACTGTATTTTTTTAATACTTAAGTTTTTATTTGTGGAGTGTTATATATATAAATATTTTTTAGATCTAACAATCGTCTAGAAGCATTTCCAATTACATTTTTTAAGTGTAAAAATATGTTTTCTACATTAAAAAATTGTAGTTAAAAAGGAATTTAAATATATTTTAGATTAAAATTATAAAACAAACAGTGTAATTTAAATCTGTTTAAAAGAGATCAATAAAAACTGAATGACGTCAAAGAAACCCTAAGTTTGAATGTAGAACGGAGTAACTTTACTCGTTTCTCTTTAATTTTGTTATTTATCTAATAAAGGATTTCTGTTGTCAGGATAACTGTCCTCTCGTTCCTAATCCCAATCAAGAAGACACGGACGAAGATTCTCCAGATAGATTGGGTGATGCTTGTGACAACTGTCCAACTGTCCCCAATGCAGATCAATTGGATTCTGATGGTGATGGCATCGGTGATGCATGTGACCAAGATATTGATAATGATGGTGAGTTTTTAATTGGATTCTCTCTGATGATCATCAATACACTGTCATTATAATATATGTCGTTAAATCATCGTTAAAATTTTCTAAATTACGCTGAGAAAGTAACATATTTTATCATTACACATTATCATTTTAAAATTTCATTGGTAAAGATTCTTGATTTTTTTTTCCTTAGAAATTCTTCGTTTGATCATTAATCTATTTCATTTTGACTACATTTTTTTTAAATTTATTTTTAAATTTATGATTTGTCATTTATTAATTACGTTTCTGCGTCAAATTGATTTTCAATAAAAGTAATCAATTAGAAAATTTTGTTTTCTGACAATTGATTGTTGTATCAAATTTTCAAGTTATACATTTTAAAAATCAATTTCTTGTCATAATCAGAAATTTAAAAAAATAACAATTTTACTTTTTTAAAAAATTCAAAACTGGTGTTTTATGTCTCATTTTTTACTTTTCCTGCTATTATATATAACAGAGGGAAAGTAAGGCGATCGGTCAAAATATGCTCCCCCCAGTTTTTACATTTTTGTGCTCAGGATACGTTGAAACGTCGAGAAATGCAAAAAAAATCCGGGTTTTTTTTCTGTATATATGGGTGTTAGTGTATGTGGGGGGCACGATTTTATTCACTCTTTGAAGCTTAATAACTCCTGTGTTTTTTCTCGAAAATTTCTGAAATTTTTCAGGAAGATTTGTGTATTAAGGCGATTGATGCTATTAAATTTTGGTGATTAAAGGTCAGAAAAAGTGGGGAGATAAAGGTCTTGTGTATCTCCGGTAGGATCAGATTTAATGACTATTTTACTCGTTATTAGCATTTACAATTTTTATAAAACTCATCTCCATCTTGAACATTAAGCTTTTTACCATTTTATAATAGTTAAAAATATAAAAAGGTGCCACTAAATGTTGACGAGAAAGTTGAGCAACTCGTTGCTGATTTTCTTGAGATTTAAAAATTGGATTTTTTTATAAATAAATTTTATTTAATTTTTTTCTAATTTGCGATTTGTTTACTTTACAAATAAATTTAATTTTTAAAAAAATACACTCAAAAATTGGCTACTTTATTACGATTTTTTAAGTAGAAAATTTTAAAATTGAATTAATAAATTTTCAATATTAAATTTTGCTTCAGAAAAGTTTTATATAATTTAATTCACTGTGAAACTCTCTACTTGAAATTTAAATTAAAATTTTCGCACTTACACATTTAAACTTCTATAATTGTGTTTAAATTTATTAAATTTAAATTACACAATTTTCTCTATTATGTTAAGGAATTCATAATTTATTGGATAATTGTCGTGCCATACCAAATGGAGATCAAGTTGATAGAGACGGAGATGGACTTGGAGATGTTTGTGATAATTGCCCATCAGTACCAAATCCCGATCAGGTAATCTTAAAATAATTACAGCTTTTGTAATTAAGTAATTTTATTTAATTATCTTTCGTTCCACATTTTTTTAAATCTTGATTTTCCCAGTTTTATCTTAAGTATTTTAGTCATTAAAAAAATTAAGTAATTATCCATTTAATTAGTATTTATTGGAGTAATTTCTTAAAACTTCAGGAAGATCTCGATAAAGATCGAATAGGAGATGTTTGTGATAGCCCTAGAGATAGGTGAGCCAGGTGCATTATATTGTTCTTTAATTATTATATTTCAGTTTAAAAACTCGAGTAAAATTTACTTTAAAAAAAAAAACTATGTTTTATTAGAGATCATGATGGATGGCCAGATCATATCGATAATTGTCCAGATGTGGCTAACAGTGATCAATTGGATACAGATACTGACAGAATAGGCAAGCTGTAGTTGAGCTTCGTAGAATTATAATTAAGTTCGTTTTGTTATTTAATATATATATTTTTAATCGTTACTTTAGGTGATGATTGCGATTTTGACAAAGATAATGACAATATAACTGACAGCATTGATAATTGTCCACTTGTACCAAATCCCGACCAAAAAGATACAAACAGTGAGTTATACTTTTTGTAATTTACATTTCAAAATTTTAATTATTAAAATTGACAACTTTTTTTAAATCTGTATTTTTTTTAAATGTCAAATTTCATTTTTAAAAAAGTTAAAATTAATCAATTTCGTTTTATAAACGAAATTTGACATTTTTTAAAAATGCAAATGAATATTTTATTATTTTTTTAAATTAATAACGTAACTGAAATGATAAAAGTTTACATTTTAAAATTTTACTACCTCAAATTATATATAATTATTTTTTTTTAAATTACTAGTTTTATATAGGCCTAATTTCATAAAATGTAGAATTGATCATTTAAAATAAAATTTAGACATTTAGATTAATTTAAATGCGAGTTCCTTCAATTGAAACTAACCATTGTTTATATCCTTATATATAATATATATATATATTTGTAGAAAACAATTATGTAAATTTTCAAAATTTACACCTTCTTTTATACACTTTAATACTTTTTTTTTTGTTAAATTAATTTATTTCATGAATAAATTCGTTTAAGAATTGACACAAAACTCTGTTTATTAAATTTACATTTTCAATTTTCGTTTCGTACCTTTGAGCGTTGTCATTTATCACTTTTATAATTATAAAAAAAAAAATGTTCACAACTGAAATATAAATTATCTTATTATATGTAACACTTTTATTTGATCTTTTATTTTATTGTAGATACGGGGGTGGGAGATGCTTGCAGGGGTGATTTCGATAAAGACGGTGTTCCAGATGAAGACGACGTGTGCCCAGATAACAGGAGGATATATGCTACCGATTTTAGAGAATATCAAACAGTAGTGCTCGATCCAGAAGGCGAATCTCAGATCGATCCTCATTGGGTTATATACAATAAAGTAAGTGTAACTTTCATAAATTTCTCTTTATCTATCCAGCCTTAAAAATGTAATTACTTTAGGGAGCGGAGATTGTTCAAACAATGAATAGCGATCCTGGCCTGGCTGTTGGTAAGTCTGTTACTAAATATGTCTAAAAAGTTTTAGAAAATTATTAAATTTTAAAATATTTCAGGTCTCCACGCTTTCGGAGGAGTAGATTTTGAGGGTACTTTTTTCGTCGATACAGAGGTCGATGATGATTACGTGGGCTTCATATTTAGGTAAAAATTATTGTTTAACGTATTATTTTTATAAATAAATATTTAATTATTTATATCCTTCTTTAGCTACCAAGACAATTCTAACTTTTATGTCGTGATGTGGAAGAAGAAAGCTCAAACTTATTGGCAAGCCACACCTTTTAGAGCTGTGGCAGAACCTGGTATACAGTTAAAACTTGTCAAATCTGAAACTGGTCCTGGTGAAATGCTTAGAAATTCATTATGGCACACTGGCGATACTGAAGAACAAGTAGGAGAGAAATTTAATTAATGTTTTTGAAGTTTTTACTAATTAACATCAACTAAATTTTTAATTATAGGTTAAGTTATTGTGGAAAGATCCCAGAAATGTTGGATGGAAAGAGAAAGCTGCGTACCGTTGGCTATTACTCCATCGTCCTAAAATTGGATTAATTAGGTCAATATATAAAATTTTAATTAAAATCAATGCTAATAAATTTAAATTAGTTTCGTTTCTTGTAATCAGAAAATTTTCAAACTCCCATACAATGTTTTAGAAAGAGAAATTCAAAATTTTAAGTATATTTAATTAATATTCTTTCTACAGGTTAAGGATATTCGAAGGAGAGAATATGGTTGCTGATAGTGGTAATATTTATGATGATACTCTTAAAGGAGGACGTTTAGGAGTTTTCTGCTTCTCCCAAGAGACAATCATTTGGTCAGATCTTGTATATCGTTGCAATGGTAAGAAACATAAAGAAAATTCTCTATTTCTAATCTTGTTCTAATTCATTTGAAGAAGAAAAAGTTATGAATTCTTCCGATTACGGGTTAAACCTCTAAAGGGATTTATGTACTAATTTCATCTTTAGGAAAAAAAATTCAACAAAATTTAAACGTGAAATCAATAATATTTTCTGATATCTTTAATCTCTAGAGGCTGTACCGAGTCGTGTATACGAAGAACTACCCGACTATCTGAAAGCAGAAGTAGCTATCGATAACACAAGACCTTCTGATATACCAAATGTTGGCCACAGGAGGGTACCAGAATATCCAAACATCGTTCCTGCGGAATTAAGAAGAAAATCTTCGAGGTCCGGCCGGAGGAATTATTAAAAAAAAGAAAAAATATATATATATAAATAAAAATTAAAAAGTTATATAAACATTTTAAAATTTAATACCTGTCGGTTATAATAAAACAAAAAAAACCACACACACACACACACACACACACACACACACACACACATCTGTTGTTGGAGTTATAAGGGTAATTCCATTAAGGAAATGTAGAGAAAAAAATAAATGCATTTTTTGGTACGAACTATGTTTTTCGCGTTTTTAATTAATATATATTCGCGAAAAATTGCTTTTACTAAAATTTTAATTGTTATTAAATGATAATTTTTGTGATTTTTTTAAATGTGTTCGTTTGTTTGTAGATTTGACTTACTTTAATTAACAGAGTGCTACTTAAAATATATATATATACATACATACACTTATGGAAGAATGTGGAAAAAGCAAATCAAGATTACCCCCTTAAAGGGGACTAGCGTGATGATTACAAATGCTTTTTTTTTAGTAGTTAAGCTAATTAGAGAGGAGTTGTCCTGGTTATAACTGTATAACCCTGTTGAATATACTGAGACGAATAGCTTAAGAATTTGAAGTGGTATGATAAATGGAAATTTTAAGGAACAAGGCCTTTTTATGGCTTTATATTTTTCTAATGATTGGCTTCAAGATGGTTGTTTAGATATCCCTGACGCAAAAAAAAAATCATTCTTAATTAAACTTCTTCAGAAAAATCTAAATTAATAAATATACAAATTAATATTGGCCAAATATTCTCACATATCATGTAAATTGATGTTTGTATATGTAAAAAAAAACATTTTAAAGGAATAAAAATAAAATTAATTTGTTTAACATTTTCAATTTTCGTTTCGTACCTTTGAGCGTTGTCATTTATCACTTTTATAATTATAAAAAAAAAAATGTTCACAACTGAAATATAAATTATCTTATTATATGTAACACTTTTATTTGATCTTTTATTTTATTGTAGATACGGGGGTGGGAGATGCTTGCAGGGGTGATTTCGATAAAGACGGTGTTCCAGATGAAGACGACGTGTGCCCAGATAACAGGAGGATATATGCTACCGATTTTAGAGAATATCAAACAGTAGTGCTCGATCCAGAAGGCGAATCTCAGATCGATCCTCATTGGGTTATATACAATAAAGTAAGTGTAACTTTCATAAATTTCTCTTTATCTATCCAGCCTTAAAAATGTAATTACTTTAGGGAGCGGAGATTGTTCAAACAATGAATAGCGATCCTGGCCTGGCTGTTGGTAAGTCTGTTACTAAATATGTCTAAAAAGTTTTAGAAAATTATTAAATTTTAAAATATTTCAGGTCTCCACGCTTTCGGAGGAGTAGATTTTGAGGGTACTTTTTTCGTCGATACAGAGGTCGATGATGATTACGTGGGCTTCATATTTAGGTAAAAATTATTGTTTAACGTATTATTTTTATAAATAAATATTTAATTATTTATATCCTTCTTTAGCTACCAAGACAATTCTAACTTTTATGTCGTGATGTGGAAGAAGAAAGCTCAAACTTATTGGCAAGCCACACCTTTTAGAGCTGTGGCAGAACCTGGTATACAGTTAAAACTTGTCAAATCTGAAACTGGTCCTGGTGAAATGCTTAGAAATTCATTATGGCACACTGGCGATACTGAAGAACAAGTAGGAGAGAAATTTAATTAATGTTTTTGAAGTTTTTACTAATTAACATCAACTAAATTTTTAATTATAGGTTAAGTTATTGTGGAAAGATCCCAGAAATGTTGGATGGAAAGAGAAAGCTGCGTACCGTTGGCTATTACTCCATCGTCCTAAAATTGGATTAATTAGGTCAATATATAAAATTTTAATTAAAATCAATGCTAATAAATTTAAATTAGTTTCGTTTCTTGTAATCAGAAAATTTTCAAACTCCCATACAATGTTTTAGAAAGAGAAATTCAAAATTTTAAGTATATTTAATTAATATTCTTTCTACAGGTTAAGGATATTCGAAGGAGAGAATATGGTTGCTGATAGTGGTAATATTTATGATGATACTCTTAAAGGAGGACGTTTAGGAGTTTTCTGCTTCTCCCAAGAGACAATCATTTGGTCAGATCTTGTATATCGTTGCAATGGTAAGAAACATAAAGAAAATTCTCTATTTCTAATCTTGTTCTAATTCATTTGAAGAAGAAAAAGTTATGAATTCTTCCGATTACGGGTTAAACCTCTAAAGGGATTTATGTACTAATTTCATCTTTAGGAAAAAAAATTCAACAAAATTTAAACGTGAAATCAATAATATTTTCTGATATCTTTAATCTCTAGAGGCTGTACCGAGTCGTGTATACGAAGAACTACCCGACTATCTGAAAGCAGAAGTAGCTATCGATAACACAAGACCTTCTGATATACCAAATGTTGGCCACAGGAGGGTACCAGAATATCCAAACATCGTTCCTGCGGAATTAAGAAGAAAATCTTCGAGGTCCGGCCGGAGGAATTATTAAAAAAAAGAAAAAATATATATATATATTTCTACTANTGAGAGCTGAATGAAATATTTTTCAATTTTATTCTATACAGCAATATCGCGACGTAGCACGTATAACAGTGCAATATTTATACGTAATGTATTTTAATAATTTTTCGCTCGATCCATTAATTACAAACGTGTACAGTTAGAGAAAGGAATTATCTACCTGAAAAATATATAAAAATAATTTAAAGTTTATTTTATTTATTCATTTATTTGTGTTTTATAAAGGTTTCTAATGCCACCTAAAACGGATGGTCTTACAATAAATATTAGTTAATTTCTTGGAAAAGTAAATAATTGTTTACGTCACCAAAAAAAAAAAAATAATTTTAGTTACCCAAAACTAAAATTTAAAAAAAGAAAACAATTTTTAAATTTGTTTAACAGAATTATATTGTTTTTATTTTACTTAAAAAATCTAATTAGTTTAGTTTCATGGGATGAGGCAATGCAACAACAGAGCGATATGCTAATGGGGGAGGGCTTTCAGGAAGAACTTGGAAACGTCTATTTAGGTGTTAGACGAGTGAAGAAAACTCGGGAAATTCCACGTGACCAATCCCTCGGTCAGGCACGAACCCGAAACTGACTATCAGTGTTAAGTGGTTTTATTCACTCGACCACTAGTGGGCCGAAAAGAAATTGGAGACACAAAAAAAACGTAGAACAGTAATGTAGTGTTCGAAAGATTTTATAATGTCGATCGTATATATTCAAAAGTAAATATATCGAGGTAATTCATCTTTACTTTCTTGGGAATTGAATTATAATCAAAGGTTTTTTTCTGTATTGATTTAAATGAAACGTTAAGAAATTGTTAAAAGACGGTAATTGCATAGATTCTGTGTAAATACTATTTTATCAAGTTAAAAAAAATTAAATCAATTCGTCAAAAAGCATTTTACGTATATTACAATAGCAATTAATAATACTTATTTGAAACAGTGTTTCCATGATAAATAGGAACTAAAAGGATAACAGTAAGAATACAACGTAAGTGCACGTGTTTGTGTTAATAGTGGTACACTTTTCTCATAAATCACAGACAATATTACTTAAAAATAATCAGTTAAATATTCTTCCAGTAATATTAATATTAGATATTGCATATTTAAAAAGTTTTACTCGATTAGGTCTATTGACAGTCATAAAATTTTCGCAATTCGTGGGCGCTCGACCAGTTTTAATTTTACCGAAACGACTTCTGTTATATCGTTTTCGTGTCCTCTCGTCTACTTTTCTTATCTTTAACAGAAACGATTCGTCTAGTCGTTTAGCATCTTGGTTAAAGAAATTAATAGGTTGTTGCAGTGCCGTTTGTTAATAGATAAACAAAACGTTTTTCGTAAAAAAACCAACACAAAACCGGAAGCGATGACGTAAAATATAGTTCAAAAAACCAGTATTTGATTAGCTATACGAAAATAAACCTCTTGTATAAATTGAATTTGGTAAATAGTTCTAGAGATTGAGTTTAACCGAATACTTTAAAAAATTAATTGAAATTTTCAATAACTTTTAAATTATATAATACAATTTTGAACCCGGAAATTTCCCAATCTTTGGCCATCCTAATCATAATTTCAGAATTTCTACAATATACGTACATTTTAATCTACAGTTGACCCCTCTATAACACTTGATAATTCCATTTTATATGAATTCCATGTTGTACGAGTCACTTAGATTTTACAAATACGTGAGCCGTTCGCAACCAGGCACACGTATTTGTAAAATTTAAGCGACTCGTACAACATAGAATTCATATAAAACGGAATTATCAACAGTGTTATAGGGGGGTCAACTGTATTTAAATCGACTAATATTTATTGTAAGGTCATTCGTAACTCATAGGTTTTATTCATTTATTTTTTTTAACTAAAAATTAAACAAATATAAACGTTAAAAAGGAAAATTATTTTCTTTAATTTATTTCAATTTTAAACTAAAAAATTTAAATTTAAATTTGTACGTTTTAGAGTTGAGGAGTTCAAATTTAAATAACATAATTATGTGTATGTAATTTAAACTCTTCGCGTGAGAGCTTAATGATGATAATTGATAAACATAGTTAAACATAATTAAACTCTCACGTGAAGAGTTTATCAATTTAAACATTCGTAGTTTGTGTAATTTTCATACGAGAGTTTATATTCTATATAAACATAATATTTCATAAAGAAAAATATATGAATACCTAATACATTCGAAACTCATAACTTCAGGAAGTGTTATGATTCATAACAATACTATAAATAAAACACAAATAAATTTTTTTAAAAATTCAATTTTATTTATTGAAAAAAATGTAAGATAAAAATAAATTTCTTATACATAATTTGTTATATACCAGTCGACCCCCTATAACACTGTTGATAATTCCGTTTTATATGAATTCCATGCTGTACGAGTCACTTAGATTTTACAAATACGTGAGCCGTTCACAAATCGGCACACGTATTTGTAAAATCTAAGTGACTCGTACAACATGGAATTCATATAAAACGAAAAAATCAACAGTGTTATAGGGGGTCGACTGTATAACCATTTTTTTCACAACAGTCATAAATTTAAAATTATACATTTGATTTTTTTATTAAATTAAAGATAATTGCTGTTTGAAATAGTTTAATTTCTAATTGAAATCGTAAAGAAAATTGCAATTAAACGAAGACGAACTCATCACCTAAATAACTAAATCTTCTTAAAGCGCCAACGAATACTCGTGAATGGATCTTTCCCATAAATGTTAAACGGTGTACTTCCTTCTATTGGCAATCATTGTCGTCATCAAGTCATTCAAATTTTTCAGATGCAGACTTAACAATTACTTCTCAAAATTCTCAATACTTGTGGCCAAACCCAGTTTATCGCGAATTTCACAAGGGAAGAGAATAATGCTCGGCATTTATTATAAAGTAACCCAAAAGTCAGTAAACCATGTAATTCACTCGAAAGTTAACATTTAATTTGTTAAAGCGTTGTAATTTGTACATTGAGTAAGAAGGATCTTACTTTGAACAATTTTAGTATATGAATAAGACAGCAATCTAGGCTTTACGATGGTTAACCGATTTCTGGGTCAGCCAGTATATTTAAATCTGAAAAGTTTTAAATTAAATTTTGTATATTTTAAATAATATATAAGATGTGAGAGTGCCGCAAGTGTTGTAAGCGTGTTGGTGCTTTGACTCGAGTGAATCGTTTTTTTTTTCTTGTTTTTAAATGAATCAGGAGTTATTATTTAAGTACTTTTTGTTTGGTTTGTTGATTTTTTTCAAATACTTCTGATTATAAGCGGTATTGAGCCAAAATCCTAAACGTTTTCCATGATCCCCGATGAAAATATCCGATATTAAAGATATGCAAATGAGGAGGCGTTATCATCCTCCGAAATGCTTTACTGCGGATAATGGTAAATCCAGAAATGTGATAATGGCAGAACCGAAGATGTTTAAGCATTAAATACAAAGTAATTTAAAATCTACCAATATTTACTGAATTCTTCGCGTTAACTTCCTCTCGGGATAGTGGGCAATAGCGATTAAATCTTTGTATAAAAACTGATGCAAGAGGATTTTATCAATATCAATACACAATTAAACTTTATAACAGTATGCATTCAATTTCTATTTTAAAAAGTAATAATAAAAATTTTCAGGAAAAACTAATTGAATTAGAAACAAGGTTTAAAGAGCATATTACAGCAATTAAAAACAATAATTATACGTCAACGGTAGCCCGCCACTGTATTAGCCAAGGTTGTGAAATTCAAAAAAGTATATTAAAAATAATTTAAAAGGAGTCTAATACATTTAAAAAGATAATTCTTGAAAATTTTGAAATATAAATTAATAATAATGATTATATGCAATTACATCCCTCTCGGTATCAATTTTTAGCCAGCAGGGGGACCTACAATAATGTTTAAGCACCAAGTAAAAGTGAGGTAAAAGTTCTTCGGTTTGTGTTTTTATACTTTAAATGTGTGCTTATCTTATGGTATATGTCATGGTGATTTTAGTAATGTATTTGAAGATTTGAAAGCCATATGTGTATTTAATAATTTCGTTTGTACACGAAACGTAAGTTTATTTTATTGTTTATATTTTAATAATTTTGTTGTTAAAATCGGAAATTTGTACATTTGTTTTGTACACTTTAATATATAACAACTTAAGAGGGACGATGTGAGTCCGAAATGCATTTTGTTAAAGGTACTTAATAACAATTAAAAAAAATATGAGTTATAACAAACAGAAGTGGTTGTGATAAGTTTGGCACTATTGGATTGCTAAAATAATAATTTTTAATTTATTTAACTTGAAATATATGCTCTCTATCTGAAATTAGTAGTGTTTTGTCCCCGTACAATACATTATACTTCCCAAATAACAACAGAGTCATGCCTGTCATCTATGTAACTCTCGTCTGGGAAAATTTTTGAATTGAAATCAGGTGATTTCCTGTCGAGACCGGAAGTACGTATATAGTTAATCGGGCTTCCTGCTCCTAACCTTTCCTTCTCTGGTCTCGACTTTCATTTACTGTACTTAACACAGTTCTCGAGATTAAGGAAAGACAGACGGACGTTAGTAGGAATTTATAGGTCTACAACTTTTTCATATTTGCAGCCTAATTACTATCAGTTTAAAATAGATAAATAAATAAAAAATTTCAGCATCGGTAAAGTTAAACGAGTTGCTTAACTTTTCCAGCGATATTTAGTGGCGTCATCTGTTGTGATATTTTGTTTCAAAATTTTAAAATTTTTTTAACTATTATAAAATGGCAAAAAGCTTAATTTCAAGGGTAGGGATGGGTTTTATAAAAAGAATTGTAAATGCTAATAACAAGTAAAATCGTTAAGTCCAATCCTACTGGAGATAAAAGGGACCGCGTGTATCTCCCCACCGCGTCAACCTTTACTCACCAAAATTTAATAACATGGATCCTCCTAATAAACAAACCTTTCTGCAACATTTCAGAAATTTTCGACAAAAAAGCACTGGAGTTATTAAGCTTCAAAGAGGGTGAACAAAACGTGTCCCCCACACACTAACATCCATACAGAAATTATCTTCGAATTTTCTTTGCATTTCTCGTTTCAAGGTCCCGAGTCAAAATTGTAAAAATCTTGGGGATCATTTTTTACCGATTGCCATACTTTCCCTCTGTTATATAAATAATACGGTTGTTTGTTTATTTTTTTTCATTTTTAACCCCTGACTGTACAGGGTGTAACGAAACCCCGTGCCAATATTTTAGGAGTAGATTTTAAGGTCAAATATAAGCTTAAAATCTTCTTCGTTTTCGAGATGTGACCTACCGAAAAAAAGGTTCAAATTTCCCACTAAAGTACTGACACTAGAGTTGTCAATTTTTTTAAATTATTTTGTATTTTCTATGCTTCTATCAACGGACTGGGATAAGAAAATGTCGCCCAAATAGGCTCTTTTGTAATAAACGTAAACAAAGTCTTATCCACTTTAAAATTTTGCAGTTTACAGCCCCCCCAAAATTGTTGGAAAGCAAAAATTCTTCAATGCAAATTTACTCGAATAACAATTCGTCTTTTACAGAATTAAACAGAGAAATTTGCAAAACTGCTCATACTGTCTTCCGCGGGTGCATAATTGATTTTTTGGCATTCCACATCTCGAATACGAAACGGAATTTGAAAAACTTTTAAAGAGGATTTTAAGCTTATTTTTGACCTTAGGATTTATCCCTAAAATATCGTGTCCTCCAGTGTTTCGTCATACGTTATATTTTCTATATTTTTCGCTTCTTATCAATATACAAAATTAATAAATGATGATGAAAACTAGCTTCAAAAGATTCATGTAAGTTTATTAACTTTTCATAATCGGACTTCAAGTTGAAAAAATTCTACCACTGTCGATCGTCTGTCTGTCTGACTGTCCTCCTTTAATCTTAAGAATGCAGTTAGATAGATGAAATCAGAGAGCAGATATGGAAATCTTAGAGACAGGAAACTCGATTGACTATATATTAACTTCCGGTTCAAATCGGAAGTCACGTGATTTCAATTCAAAAGTTTTATATGACCGGCACGACCCTGTTGTTATCCGGAAAAGTATGATGTATAGGGGTATGACACTACGAATTTCGGATCGAGAGCATATATTTTAGATTAAATAAATTAAAAATATAATTAAAAATTGCAGCTCGGCATTGTGACCATGTCACAATAATTTTTGCTTGTTTATATATTAAATTTTAGAATTTATGAAAAAACAAATTAGAAGAAATTTACAAAAAATCTAAAAAAATTCAATAACAAAAAGAAAAACATAAATTTTTAACATNTATTATATTAATGTATAGGAAGTAAAGTATATATAAAATCAGGGATCTGTGAAGAGAGTGTTGAAATAAGTTAATAAAACATCCGCTTTTATAAAATATGAATATACTGTAATAATATGCATATTTGATAAGACTACATTTATTTTTCATTTACTGTATATTCTCTTCATATATTTTTCATTTACTATTATGAGTAAGATGCATTAAGGTAGTATAGGTAAAAGGTATTGTAATACAGTCGACCCCCGTATAAGATCATTGATTATTCCGTTTTATATGAATTCCATGTTGTACGAGTCACTTAAATTTTACAAATACGTGAGCCGTTCACAGCCCGGTACATGTATTTGTAAAATCTAAGTGACTCGTACAACATGGACTTCATATAAAACGGAATAATTAATGATCTTATAGGGGGATCGACTGTAATTATGATGATGTGATGCTAATGATAATTCGACTATTTATGCAATATTTAAAAGAAGAATTTCAAAGTAACGTAGTAGTATTATTTGCCGTGTCATGTCGTAAATGTAATGCACGTGGACTTCAACCTGTACCAAATACTGCAGAAAATGAAAATCTTATTAATAATATTTAGGCTTTCAGCTTAAGAAAACATGTTTATTTGTATTAATTCTCAATATAACGATTGTTACTTATACATGACAGTGCTGAACAGTCGACCCCACTATGACTGTTGATAATTTCGTTTTATATGAATTCCATGTTGTACGAGTCACTTAGATTTTACAAATATGTGTGCCGATTTGTGAACGGCTCACGTATTTGTAAAATCTAAGTGACTCGTACAACATGGAATTCATATAAAACGGAATTATCAACAGTGTTATAGGGGGTCGACTGTATTTTATATTTTTTTCCATTACACTGAATAAGATAATACGTTTTATTATCTTTTTAAATTAGACTTTCAAAACAAATTAATATAATTAAATTATTTATGTTAAATATATTTTTAAATAAATAAACTTATGAAACTAGCAAATAACTATTTTATTTTACAGTAGCTTAAAAATTAAATTGTTTCCTAGTTAAAGAATTATTTATTTATTTATTTAAATTCTATTGTTAAATATAACATTAATAAATGTTAAGTTATTTCAAGAATCTTTCTTAGTAAATTTAAAATGTTTTCCTTATTAAAAATACATTTTTTAAAATCTTTCATGCAATTATTTTCTGCAACTCATTATCTGAGAATACAAATTTTTTTGATTTTTATGAATTCTTTTATTCATATTTTATAATTAATTCATTAACGCATTTACTTTTATTATTTAATAAAATAATCTTGTTGAGATTTTCCATGTACGAGTAATTATTTTTATAATTTGTCAATTTTTTAATGACAATTTAAACTTTTTACAATGACAAATATTTTGTCATAAAAATTGTAATTTTTTTTTTCTTTAAAATATAAAAAGTAATCTTTATTTTTCTAAGATATTAATTGTGTTTTTTTAAATTAAATACAAAAAAAAGTCGAAAAATACTTTTATTCTTTTTTCAATCTTAGTATAAAAGTATTCATTATTATTTATTTTCATTACAAAGTTTACGGTTTATTTAATTTAAAAATTAAATAAATTTTATATGCAAAATAAATATTTACAACAAACTTTAACTATTAATTTACAACTCTTCACATTTTTTTTCGATTATTTATTTAATCGAAAGTTGTGAATTAAAATGTAAAAAATTACAAATATTTAAACAGTACACATCATAAATTAACGAATTAGTTAGGAAGAATTTTAACTTTGTAAAAAAAAAAATCAATAAAAATAGGAATATTTATAGTTATATTTCATGTTTTTTAGTATATTGAGATCTTTCAATATCGGTTCTCATGCATTATCAAAATGTCACGTTATCTCCGTATCGAGGCAACTCATAATCATTCAGCTGTCACAGCCCCTTTCCACCATTACAATATAAATGCACACATCAACATAAAGATGGATATAGAGCATTATCTTTTATCTTAGAATCTTTCATTCTTTTCTCTAAAAAGGAATCTTTAAATGTTTTCGACTTGAAGAGAAACTCTCTCTATATCCAACAAAAGTTAAACATTAACTTTATATGCCTACAGCTTTTAACATAAACATGTACAAAAAATGACAATTCACTGGAAAAATGCCATTTTTTACTTTTATTTTTTTTTTTACTTTTCTTTTTTCGTTATAGAATAGATTGATTGGCTTTCCCTGCACTTAGTTCACCGACTAAAAATTTACTTTCAAGTTTGTTTATGCTTATGTAAATATTTTTTAGTATCGAAAACTAGGATTAGATATTTTATTTTATTTTTTTCCTCTTAAGAAAAATAACTTTTATTTATTTCTTTACTTTCGTGTTTTATATTATTATAAAATATTTGCTTTTATTTTCTTTATGAAATGTAAATTTATAAGTTCGTAAAAGATAATAGAAAGGTGCTATTTAACAGAATATTTTTTTCTTTGGTTGAAGTAAGTTTTTTAAATTTAATTTATTTACTATATTATATAAATTAGAAAAAGTAAAGCAATGAAATTTATGAGGAAACAATTAATATTGAGCAGTATATATCTTAATAAAATATATAAACTATATAAATTTTACGTGCTGCACTTTTTAAATAATTGTGTACGAAATTTTGGCTCTGTTGGCTTTTTTTCTGGAGGTATTATGCCAATAAATAGTTGCCATATTCATTGCTGTGTAGTGACATATCGAATGATGCGAGACGTGGATTTGGTAAGGTAGATAATTTTTTTTTTTATAAAAATTCTATAAAACTGAAGCATGTTTCGTCTTAAACACAATGGCTTATGGAGAATAATTCTTCATAATGAATTATAGAACATAAGAAATTTTCGTTTTTGAGTTATAAGTCTGGGTTTTCTGGTAGTTTTCTGCTTTAATTTATTAAAGTGGAAAACTACCAGAGAGTAACAATAAATACATTTATAATGGTTTAAAAATCTTGTGTAAAGTATTAGTAAAATTTTGATTTAATTTTTGTATAAAATATTATTTATGTTTTCAAATGTAGAATATCTGATTTTTTTTTTATTTCGGCCTTGTTTTCTATAAGCTATATTTAGTTGCAATTTTAAAAATATGAAGAAAATATATTTTATTGTAGAACTTTTAAATTGCATTTTACTGTATACTTAGATGCATTTCTTCTATATATTCAAATGGAATTTTCTCATATTACTACTAGAAGGGACCTATCGAATTTACCCACACATTCAAAAAATTTTTTATTCAAAAATCCAAATTGCTATATTTTAAATAAAAAAAATCACTGTCATTTCTTCGTATCCAATTACAATTCACCTTTTTTATACATAATAACACTATAATAAATTCAAAAACAATATAATAATTTTATCTGATTAGTCGAACATTAGTCGAGATTAAATTATTTAATTTTTATCTTCATAGATTTATTTTTCTTATTATAATAAATTTATGTTTAAAGTATATTTTCTTATTTCTCAGCAAAATTTAAAATTTATGATAAAACAAAATTGATGATTTTTATTTTTTTAAAAGAAACTTCTTCGACACTTCCATCAAAAGTCAATAACTGAAAATGGTCAAAAGTCAGAAGCTGAGAAAATTCTTTAACTTTGTCAACTTCATGCATGAACATCCCTAAATCTAAACGACTACACGAGCAAAAGACTCGATGAATAATTTATATTCGACTAGAATCAAGGATTTGACAAACACCTGCAAGACTATTCTACATATAAAGGTATCTAATTCACTTCACAGTTTCCTATAAATATGATTAAATTAAATTTTCTTAATAATAGTTCATCGATNGTAAATTTTATTAAATAAAAAATGCAATAATAAATAGATTTTATTATTTAAAAATGACTTTGAGTGAAGCATGCAATTTTTTCAACGATTTATTTATTTTTTTTATTTATGAATAATGTAAACATATTCAAATTTCTTAATAAAGTAATACGAGTTCGAATATTGTCTTATGTCAGATTATATGAAGTAAAATATGTCTTTATGGAGAAAAAAACGAGTGCAGAATTTTTGTAAACAGAATCTTTTTTTACCTTGTCACAATGAACTGCTTAAGAAATGGATTTTTTTAAATCTTCAGAAATAGAAATATAGAAAATTCTATGTTAAGAATTTTATGTTAAAATATACAGAATCAGTAGGACTCTGCATATTTCACTAAGTAATACCTGTATGTATTTTATTTTAGTGATTGTTTTTGTATTTTTTCTTATCTATCTGATTTCTTCTTATCATAGAGAATTGAAGATAATTTATCAGAAAGTTTTTTTTTGTATACGTAGAATCACTACTACTATTGATTTTTATTCGTATATAAAAATGTAATTTCTTTTCTTTTTTTTTTACTTAATTCACTTTTAAAAGTTTGTGTNAATAAGTTTGCGGTAACTTTAGTATAGAAAAGAGAATGAAATTTTTACTTCCAGTAATAAAATTAATAAATCTCCAAAGATTTCTCTTCTTCAATAAACAAAAATTCCAGAGGCTATACAAAATTAAAGAGGGGGAAAAGGTTGCATTTTCATAAATTAATTGGCTTCAATCGATAATCCCATTATATTAATTACGGTAATTATGTTAACTGGGACAATAATAGATACTAATATGAGAAAACCATTAGGCTCATTAAAATAAATCTTGATCCCGAAATACCATGCGGGCTCGTGTCTTCTTTCTAACGTTGTCCTTTGAGAAATTAATAATAATTATTAACTAACGGTGGTATGCACCCAACGAAATTGGATATTTTATAAATTTTTTAAAAAGTTAATATCTTAAAGTTCGATAAGAATTACAGAAACTAAAATTCGACGAAATTTATAAAATTTCCCTTGTGTAATACTTTCTACTTTACCGGGAAACTTTATTATTTATTCTACTTCCATTGACCTGACCATCACAATACTGTAAAAGGAAATTTTTGTTAGGTCCAATATATGTTCCAATAGTGAAGAAAGTGATTCTAGAAGGGGGGAAGGAGTGAAATATTTATTTGAAATGGTTCTTTCGGTCCTTCTTTACATGAATCTTGCTTTGTTTTATTGGATTATACATAACTCTAACCTTAATTTTTACTCTTACAGGATAAATTTTCAGAGATTGCAATATGAAATATCGCATTCTGCGCTTTAAGTGACTTCTAAAGTTTACCCCAAGCTAAAAAAGAATAATGGAAATTATTAAATTTTAACTTTTAATAATTATAATTTCGGTTGTAGGAAGGGGGAGATACTTTAATCATTAAAAAGACAGAGAGAGAGAGATGTAAAATTCACTTCAAGAAAATTTAATTTTTTAAAATTAATTCTATAGTAAAAAGTGTTTATTTTAAAAATAAAATTAAACTTTTTTAATTTAAAAACGTAATTTTTATAAATTATATATTGTAATCTATATGCAAAAATTTCGTTCAGAAATTATAAATTTATTTATTTCTAAAATAAAACGATATTTAATAGTTATAACAGAATAATTTCTTATTACTTTCTTCGCTCTGTTATACTCATATATAACAAAGGGAAAGTATGGCCATCTGTCGAAAAAATAACCCTTCCCAAGATTTTTACATTTTTGGACTCCATACCTTGAAATGTCCAGAAATACAAAAAAATTGGTTTTTTTTTGTATGTATGGATGAGGGCGCACAATTTTGTTCACCCTCTTTGAAGCTTAATAACTCCCGTGCTACTTGTCGAAAATATCTAAAATTTTGCAGGGATGTTTGTGTATTAGGGCAGGGCTTCTTAAACTATGGGTCGTGACCCAATTTGGGGTCTCTTAGCGAAATCTTGGGGTCGCGAGATTTTAATGCAAAATATTGAAAATAATTTGTGAGAGTTTGAAAATGGCTCGCTTTGTGTTATAGGTTTCGTGAGTTGCGCTTTGTGTCACTTCTGATGCAGCGAGAGTACACTACTGTGTACTAGTGTAGTGTTGTCGCTTTTCAGTGTATTCAGTTGTCTCATTTCCATTGTAACACAAGAGTGAACTGTGGTAGTACACCATTATTGTTTTTTCAAATTTGTATATATCTTTATTTTACATTTTTTGGGGTCGAGAAAAAATCACAATCATAAATGGGGTCGTGAATAAAAAAAAGTTTAAGAAGCCCTGTATTAGGGGAATTGATGCTACTAAATTTTGGTGGTTAAAGGTCNTTTATATTTTTAAAAGTATATATATTTATTTAATTTCAAAACATTTTTCTAATTGTTTTTTTAAATATATAATTATTTTTTAAGTTTTAAGAATTTTTAAGTTCACATTTTAGTTTTTTGGAAAAAAAAATTATTTTTAATCATTGCGGTTATAAAAAAGTATAGACTTTTTTATGTTGAATTTTACTCTAGAGAATTATAAATCTTCAGAAACTTTACATTATATAAATTTTTTACTAATAAGAATTTTTTACGTGTAAAAAAAATAGCATAAGCAACGTAAAATATAGGAAGATAAGAGAGAGTTCTTCTTTTTAAGAAAGTTTTTCAATATCATAGAATTAACAATAATAGGATTAGATCAAAGTTTGTAAATGGGAAGATCCATTTTCCTTATATTTTATAAGATTAAAGGCTATTTTTTTATTTATATATTTTTTTATAAAGCATTTTATCAAAACTTTGTTTTTGCTGAATCGCATAAATCTAAAAATATATAATTATTAATATATTTAAAAAGTATAACTTTGCTTAAAAATTACAACTCAGTAATTTCATATAGCTTAATTCAATTTCTTTTGCAATTAAAACTTAAGTTTTATAAAATTAACTTATTTATTAATTATCAAATTAATTAAATCTTTAAGATTTATCTTTATGTTCAATATTTAAAATCTTTCCAGATATTTATGAATAAAATTTTTATACTTAGAGAAGTAAAGAAAAAAATAGCTTAGAAGTAAATAATAAAGTTGTAATTTTAGAATAAAAGTATTAGTAATTTTTTAAATTTTAGAAAAAACTTGACAAAATTCCATTAAAAAAATCAAAAATTTATTATTTCCAAATTTATCAAATTTGAAAATTATTAAATCACAATTAAAATCACAAATTGAGTTTAATTTATATCAATTTCAACAATGTAATGAGTTTTATTTATTGAAATCGATCAAAATTAACTCGAATGCCATTTAACATCAATGAAATCGATTACAATTAAGTTTTACTAATTATCAATTTAAAATTTCATTTTTTTAAAAATGAAATAAAAAATAAATAAGGGTGTGACGGCGTTTTCACATAAAACTGCAGAATTTAAAAATCGAATCTTTCTCATACATATGGATAAAAATTAAGGAAACTTGCAACAACATTTTTCTTACTAAATACTTTATAATTCTGTAATATTTTCTGCAATTTTATAAGTTGTGTTTTTAATTTTAATAACTTTGACTTTTTCAATAATTCCAGTAAAAATTGTGTGTAAAATTTTGTAATTTTTAAGATTTACTTTAAAAAAAAAAAAATTAAGTATTCTAGCAATGTTAAGAAGCAGTAATAAATTATAAATTAATCAAGTTAAAAGAATTTTAATTTTTAAAAGTAAAGTTTACCAGTCAATTATCAAAATTGATTTATTTTTGATTCGGTTTACAGCAAAGAAAAAAAATCATTCTGGGTTACATTTATTTATATATATAAAAACCAATTTAAAAAAAATCTAAAAACTTCAGGAGGAAAAAAAAAGATTGTTTAAATAAGCAGTAGTTTTTATAAAATATGTTTTTCTTTGGAATTATAAGACAGTTGCACAACCTGATACATAATTAATGGAAAAAGTTCATCATTAGTGTAGTAGTAAAAATAGAAAATAAAAGCCCTGAGCGACATTTTAAGTGGGTAGTTCTATCACAAATTCCATTTGTCATTTTATCCGCATAGCAGCACATGTTTTAGATACATTAACATTAATTTTATTATGACACAACTAAATAAATGTACACTATATTCTACTTTATATTTTTAAAACATCTTTTATGCATAATGTAAAAAAATTCAAACTGTAATTTAAATATAAAGCAACTCATAAGTCAGTTAACTGTGTGTGTTTGTGTGTTCCAGGCACACTTGAATAATTATCTGAATTTAAATCCTTGTTTGTTTATCTTTTAAAGTTTAGCGGAAATATGTTTATTGAAAAATATTCAGCTGTTAAACCATTAGAATTATTGATATTTATTTTTACAATGGCTGACTGACTGACCTTTAACCCGTAAATAATATAAATATTTTTGTATTTTTCTTTTTGTAAATGCAAATGAAATTTTACATTTATAATATTCTTGGATAACATTAAAAAACTGTGTTTTGGAGTTTGAAATTTAAAAGTTTTGTAATTAAATTTAAAATAATTACAACTTTCCAAAAAATTGTTTAGATTAAACTTAGGATTAAATCTACAGAAATTATTTTATATTTCTAAAACACGTAAAACTAAAATTATTTACAAAAAATCGCGACATTTTTAGAATAAAGTTTAGTAATAAAAAAACTTTAGAATAAAATTAATCCTAAAATNTGTTCTAAGCAATGTTAAGAAGCAGTAATAAATTATAAATTAATCAAGTTAAAAGAATTTTAATTTTTAAAAGTAAAGTTTACCAGTCAATTATCAAAATTGATTTATTTTTGATTCGGTTTACAGCAAAGAAAAAAAATCATTCTGGGTTACATTTATTTATATATATAAAAACCAATTTAAAAAAAATCTAAA